CCCCAGTGTGTTGGCCAACGTGGCGGCTGTTGCATAAGCCCCTTTCTGTTTCCCTTAGCACCCACGGACTGATCTTGTGAGCAGCTGTTCCTTGCTTGTGGGCCTGATCCTGTGATGTGTGAGTGCTTCCCAACTCACACTAAGTCTCTGGGGGGTGCTGAGCATCTTTCAGGATCGATCCTCATGTGAATAAGGACCACTGTCATGGGTAAGGGTTTTCAGGATCTGGCCTGGCACTGATAGGCATGGGTACCCATCTGCTCCAGTCAGTGGCTAAGAGCCTGATCCAAAGCTCATAGAAGTAAGTGGGAGGCTTTCCATTGGCATGGATCAGGCCCTACATTCCCTTTGACTTCAATGGAAACAGGAAGGGGTCCCATGGTTACATAGAAAGGAGCTGCATAAAAGCTGTGTGGCTTCTTTTTTTCTGTGGGAAGGGAACTGATTTAGCTTAGCTGAATAATAAGAAAATTCATGAGACTTAGCATTTATATACTCAGATAATTGAACCACAACAACTGTAAATTATACCTGTCCAAATCTAAAGTCAGGAGCTGTCATGATGTTACTATAGGAAGCCAGTGGGGAAACTGGGAAACAAGCTGGATGGAATGGTGGGAAAACACAAGTGTGAAGGAAATGTGTAAGGGAGAAATGAATGAATTAGCTAGAAATGTGTTTTTTCTCTCCCCTCCAACGGACAGATGCAATGATCTCTTCCCCCCACCCCAATCTTTTACCCTTCCAAGTCCCTACCGTGAAACCTCGTCAATAACAAGCAGTGACATCCCCTCCCCACATATCCTACACGCACTGTGGCTGCTCAGTGATGTTATCTGCTCTTTTAGACTGGGCATCCCACGTTACAGTGATCATGTTGCACATTAATACCTTGTAGTAAAATGGTATCATCTCTGACCCCAGGGCCTCGGGGAAGCAAGATGTGGATCTTGCAGACTTTGCTATGGAGCTAGGACTGTGGATCGGTAGTCTCATGAGGCCTGATTCAGAATTCAGCGCTAAGAGGATATATACAGCTTATGGTTAACAGCTGGACAAATCTGAGAGGTTTCTGTTCGCAGCGATTTGTACAAATCCTTTTCCCCGTTTGCATCAGTTCACATAGGCTTTACTAACCGCGATTCATCTTGAGTTTGGGAGTTGAATGAGCCCAAAAATACTTACAGTGAAATTCATTTGGTAACTGTGTGAAGCGAGTGAATTTTGCAACCATGCTGATAATGCTTTACACTTTATAGTATTTCTCATTCATAGATATTAAAGCCTTTCACATAAATGGATATCATCATCTCATTTTGCAGAGGGGGAAAGTTAGAGAAGGATGGTGACTTACCCAAGGTTGCACGGAGAATCAGTGGCAGAGCTGGGACTAGAACCCAGGTCTCCTCACTCTTTGTGCTGTGATCAGTTCACAAGACCACAGCTTGGTCTCCCATGATCATAAAAATGTTTGCAAATTTCATTTAGCCTGGTTGAAGTTTTATATGAAACACATGAGCCAAGCAGGAGATTCCGGTTGCCCGTGGTAGCTCTGTGCATGGATTAAGGGTAGAGATGGGCGAATAATAGATTTTTCTGTTCACCATCAATTCAAAAAAATCGAGGGGGGGGCAGGAAATTAGTTTTGAGTCAAACCAAAATTTTTCAAAACTTCTGTTCAACTGAAAAGTCAAAAACAAAAACTCATTTGGGGTCAAAAGACACATTTGATTTAGATGCGGAGCATCTTAAAACAGTTTTGAGGGTTTTAAAAATAAAATTAAAGGACATTTTTAAACAAAAACTCATTTCAAAACAAAAAATGGAAAAGTTTAGAAAATGTTAAAATGAAGTTTCAATTCTGGGGGTATTCCCCCCCCATCCCCCCAAAAGAACAATTTGGTGAATTTGACATAAAGTTGCAAAATTGTTCAGGGTCTCCAAATCTGCTTTTTTTTGTTGTTGTTTCTGGCCAAAAACAATTTGCCCAGCTCTAGTTAAGAGTACTCCTATAGTCCTCTGAATAGGATCAGATTAAGGGAATGGGCATTTTCTCTTGTAGATTTCCATGTAAATTGCATTTGGTTTTCTTTTTTAAAGCTGTAAGCTGATTTCAGGGTTAAATATTTGTGGCACTAAGTGGTTCCTAGAAAGGAAACCTTTGGAAGTAAATAAATTAGACACTAACCCCTGTTGTACACATACACACACACAGAGGCAATAGACATCTAGCATTGGCCTCACAGAATGCAAGTGCTGCCTGGGTTTAATGCTGTAGCTTGAAACCAAGGGGAAGGGAGATGCAGTGCTGTGTTTTGTCTTTCCTGCATCCTGTAGCAAATATCCTGGCAGGAATCTGCTGAACACGATGAAAGTGGTTTCCTGCTGAATGTGCCCAGGAAGATGCAAGTGTGCCGGGAAAGCAAAAAGTTCAATTAGAGTTTTTTACAGATCAGGAAAAAATAACCCCCAAACCGTGGGAATCGGGATTCTGCAGAAACTGGAAAAAAGAAAAGGAGGACTTGTGGCACCTTACAGGCTAATTAGTCTCTAAGGTGCCAGAGGTGCGCCTTTTCTTTTTGCCGATACAGACTAACACGGCTGCTACTCTGAAACCTGCAGAAACTGGGAATTCCGCCGGCTTCCTCCATAGCTCCACAGCATTTGCAATTTGGGAAGGTGTGAGACGGGATCATCACGGGTGTTGCAGGCAGGTCCAGCAGGTGGGAAGTCGGGGGTGCACATGTTCCTTATGAAAAGGCGGGCTTGCAGGAAGGTTTGACAGGAGCTTGGAGGGTTGGATCCCTTGTCTGAATCCTTGGGTGGAAGCCCCTATGGAAGGGGGAAAGGATGAAGATGACAGGTTGCTTTGAAAGACAATTGCTCTTTTCATTTGTTGGATAACAGCCAATGGACTCTTTCCACTGGCCTGCTCCCGTGCAAACACCACCAAGCTGATCAAGGACATTTGCATTCCAGAGGCAGCAGGTAAATGGGTGACTAGGGCAGGTGAGAAAAGCAGGAAATGATTAAGCTCTGGTCACCAGCGATACAAAGAGCCTTTCCCGCTAATCCCCTCTTTGTGGGGAGAAGAATGTTTGTGTGTCATTTCTAGTGGGCCAGTTACAGCAGGCAACAAGGAGCCGAGGTACCTGCATAATAAGGCGCTGAGATATACTCCCCCGCCGAGGCTGAAAGTCCCCAACCTACCCCGCCAATATCCATTTATCCCTAACTTGTAGACGTAAGAGGAGAGTTCAGTCTCCAGGGCCCATTTGGACTCTGGTCTCTCTGCTCCACAACATGGTCGAGTCAGTGGCCGTGAGTTTGTGTGATGCGGACACTCACTCTCTGAGAATTGGGTGGAGACCCACCAAACTCGTGTCAGAGATGAGCTCTTGTGAAAGCTTTCACTCCTGGCTAACAGTGGCTGCATCTGAACTGGTGTCTTCTAGGGGAACAGTAATGGCTTATGAGCCTGTCTCCTGGGCCATCTAGTCCCCGGGAATTCAGATACCATGGAGCCTGGGCCATGGTGGGGATGCTGGCACTGCTCAAGGGGCCCAAGCTCCTGGACAGGAAGCAGCGCAGCGAGCGGGTGCTGAACAGCCTTAACTCCGACCTGCTGCCAGCCCCAGCCACTGGCCCTGAGTGCGCTGTGCCCCCCGGGCTGCCCAATCTGGACACCACGGGCCAGGCACCGCCGGTGAGTATAGCCCTGCACGGTTGTATCTGGATCTGATCCACTATCCGCAAAAATGGACCGCAGATATGCAGGGCTCTACCCATTGTGCTAGGAGCTGTACATACACATGGAGAGACGCAGCCCCTGTGTCAAAGAGTTCACGGTCTAAACAGACAAGAGAGACAAAGACCGTGACAAGAAACAGAGGGATAGGAAGATGAAGGGACTTGCCCAAGGTCACTGAGCAGGTCGGCAGTAGAACCAGGAACAGAAAGCTGGTCTCCCACCTCCCACTTTAGGGTTCTACTCACTAGACTGCGCTATTGAAAGGGAAGGGGCAGGAACACAGTGGAACTAACCAGCTGTTCAGAAGGGGAAGGACTATTCACGATCGCTGTTCAGCAGCAGTCTCCCTGCTCCAGTTACAACAGGCCAGGAGCCTCCAGGAGAGTGAGGTGTAATTAATCAGCAGGGTTCCCCAGGCACCAAGTGTTAAATGCCTTATTAGTTTTCACTTTTCAATTATCAGACACCCGATAGCATCTTCATAAGCAGCAGAGTCCTGAAATTAAATCCCTGGCCGCAAGTGTGGTGCTCGGCTTATCTCTGGCATGTGTGCTTGGCATGTGCGTTAGGGAGGGTTTGGATGTTTTTACAGAGGGCTTCATTTCCCAGGCCAATCTCCTCTTGGCCCTCTCTCCCCATCTTCCTCTGAGCTGCAGCAGTAGGATCTTCGGGGGCATGGGGAGGGAGGGGTGATGCCAGCTCTTCTAACCATTACCTCTATCTCCCGTCCCTCCACTGCTCTTCCAAAAGCAACCCCGCGCCTCTGCAGCCAAGGGAGAAACTCCCCCCGGACTAGGAGCTGCCTACTCTGCTGCCTGAACACGGGCAGCAAAGGGGAAGCTGGATCCCTTGCTTCAGGCCGGGTGCAAGAGCTAGGACTCCGGGGTTCTATTTCTAACTCCACCACTGACTTGCTCTAGGACACGGAGCTGCAGGCCTCAGAGCTGCAGTACATAGGGTGTCCCTGGTATCTGCGGAGGGCCTGGTTTTAAAGGGATGACAAAGGAAGTGTGAAGTTGCTTCCCCTTGGCCTGTCTCTGGTCTTCTGCTGAAGTTCAGCCCCTGACAGCCAGGTCCTCTCCAACACCGGTGAATCCCCATTAGCCTGTTCTGACTTCTCAAAGCCAGTGGCTGGGCAGCCACCACAAACTGGACATCTCTTGCCACCATTCCTTTGCTGTCCCTCCCCCCACTCCGTTCTCTTTATTGGATTATAAATACCTTCTAGGCATTTTGCTCTGGAACAAAAATGCTTCCTGCCGTGGGAGTTGGAAGGCAGCAGATAACACAGTCACAGCGGCGCATGGCCAGAATCTACAGCGCGCTTTGGATGTACTTTGGCATCACGCTGGCCAAGCAGATTATCCTCTCCCGCTCCTTGAGTCTTGATTAAACTCTAACCCTATGACATTAATCCCATTCATCTGCATCTTTAATCTGTGCAGCAGGTCAGCAATTCCTGTAAGTACCATTCTCCCCGTCAGGAGAAAATTACATTTGATTTTTTTTCTAGTTAATTCAAAAAGAAGTTGATGGGGTGACCTGACAGCTGAGGTTGAGAACGGACCAGGGAAACTTTCCCCTCTAGGGCACTGGGTCTGATTTAGCTTAGTTACAGTTATAACTAAACTTATAAACTTATAACTGTAACTCCCTGGTAACATCTCCACCCCCTAAATAAAGGGATGATGGAGGTCACCCCCCTTGCTCTGATGGAATTGTTAACCCCATTCCCTCCCGAAATCTCTGGCTTCTGTTAAGCCCTCCTTGCTAGAGAGGACTTTCCCATACAAATACTAGGTGGATGGTGGGAATGTTCCCACACCTCCTGCTTTTCCCCCTTATTCAGAAATCTATCTTTGAGCACCACAAATTCGCCTACTGCTGAAGAGCAAATTCTGTGCCACCAAATTGGCCAAGAGTGCACCAAATGGCAGACAAGAAGAGCCTGGCTGGCTGCCACCTTGGACCATGTGCTAATTGTTGATGTTTGATCAGCATGGGTGTAGAACGCTGCTCAATCAGAATGCAATCATCACATACCCCCTCTCAGGACAGGAGTCGCTGGTAACGCGGTATGCAATGCAGAGGGGAATCAGGCCCAGTGATTGAGATTTGCAAAGCCCGCGAGGGGATTCAGCGATTGCACTTGCTGGCAAATGGGGGTCATGTGGGGACATCCCACCATCGGCTTTGAAAAGCTCAACCAATGTTTCTCCTGGGGAAGCGTCAAAGTTCAGGGCCACTGTACCTGTATTCCTCCTCTGTGGTCCAACAAAGACACTAACTCTAGGCTCCTGGCACCACAGCTTTCACCCCTTTTGGGCGGAGACCCACATCTCTCCCTCCGGACTGGGATTTTTCCTGGCTGCACAGCTCTCTGCCTGCACTGTGATATCCCCAGCAAGCCAGACTGCCTACAAGGCCTGCATCTGCATTCTGCTTTCTCTCCAAAAGCAATGACCAGGTAATTTCCCACAGCTCTAAGTTACCCCACAGCTCTTTCTAAGCAAGCACATTTATTCTTAAGGTAAAAGCATGACACAGAAAACATATAAAAACAATCAAAGAAATTACATGCATGCTAATAAGCTTACCAGAGATCACCCCCAACTCCAGCCTCAAGCTCTGGCAGGTGTCAGTCCTTCCAACCCTTCCCTAAGGATGGGGGCCCCTCTTGGACAGAAGGATCTGTCCCTTTGTTGCATCAGAAAGAAGGCCTGGCATCAGTTTAAATTTAGGCTGTTCATCCAAAAGTCCTTTCTTTGTCCGTTGGTCTCTGGAGAATTCAGTCTGAACCAATATATGCAGGTCTCTCCAGGTGAGGGTGCCTCCCTAGCAGTGTTAGAACCTGAGTGAAATTATCTAAATTACCCACACTGTACTTCCTCCCCCATGGAATTACAGATAATCCCTAGCCCAATGATACATCATCTTAATACAGTGAGATCTCCCAAAGATAGTGCAGGAAATTGCCAGATCTGTCTCAGTAGGATTCCCCCATAGTGCCCCTTCACTGCAAAACAGGCAAGCTGACATGATCAGCAATGTAGTTTGAGCCAGATCCTCGGGCAGGGTAAATCAGGGCAGCCCTGCAGAAGTCAGTGGAGTTGTGCTGGCTAACACCTGTCAAGGATCTGGCCCAGAATTGTAGAGACACTATATAAATATGGCTGGCAAAGCGCAAGCTCCTGGAGGAGTCTGCCTGGGGATGCTGCCTTCACCCGTGGGTGGGGAGAGAGCATTTTTAACTGGATTCCCCAGCTCCTCACCCCCCTTTCTCTGCATTACGCAAACCCCTGGCATCCATCCGGGGCATTTCACAGGCTAAGGGGGGAGATGGGCATTTTGTGGGAGCCCCTTGTTAAAGAGCTGGCAGTGCCTTGCGGGATTGGACGTGGCCAGCAGTGGTTCCCATCTGGCAGCCGCTCATTTGCAGGCTTCTGTGAAAGGAGATGGTGGTTTGAGCTCAGCGCCTCGTGGGCAGGAGTCCATCTCACACAAACCAGTGTCACTGGCCGCTCTCTCACAGAGAGGGACACAATGAATCATGGAGGAGGCTGAACATTGCCTAGCAGTTGCCAGGCCTGGTGACCGGGGGAGGCAGGGGCCTCATCAGCAAGGCAGGGGGAGAGCTTGGCCTCTTGTAACAGTCCAGACTTTCCCTGTTCTGGGGGGAAATCAGGGGCTTCGCTCGGGCCCTTTGCACCAGTTCCGAATTCACTGTAAACCTCTGCACGCTATTTCCCCTAAGGGAAAACACACCCCTCTACTCCTCTCTCCCTGGGACGGGCAGGTGCAGCCTGCTTCCGGCAGCTGTGGGAATCCACCCCAGGCATCTGAGCTTGGAGCTCCGTCCCTGACTCCCCGAGAACTGATGCTAGCCTCCTGGCCAACTATACCAGGGAAGTGCCGCACTGATGGGGTCTGGAGAGGTCGGGTAGCATCTCAGAGCTCATGTCCAGGTTGAGGCTACACAGGTGGCTCCTGGGCTTTCATTAAGGGATTAATCTTGGCTCCACTGAAGTCAGTGGCCAAACTCCCAGTGGAGGTTGCAGGGAGGGGATTTGACACATGGGGAAATTAAATGTGTGTCTCCAGCTCACCCCGCCACAGATCCTGTCTCTTGCCTTGTGCGTCATCCCAGCCTACGCCGTGCCGGTGACTCTGCACCCACTCCAGATCCCCACTGGGGCCTGCCTACAGGAATCAGGCTCGTCTGTGGTTTTCAAAAAGAGAGACACGCCTGACCCCATGGGCAGCCTCCAGGCTCCAGAGGGGGTCGGTGGTGGGTGTGATGTCACTGGCAGAGTGCATGGGAGCCAGTGGTCCATGGCTGTGCCTAAATTCAGGCTTGATCCTGCTCTGATTGAACTGATGGCAAAAGGTCACTGGGTTTCAATGGAAGCAGGACGGGGCCCATTGTTGGGGCCTGAATGGAGGGAAACTAGATTAGAACTGGCAGTGATAGGTTTCAGAGTAAGTAAGTAAGTAAGCCGTGTTAGTCTGTATTCGCAAAAAGAAAAGGAGTACTTGTGGCACCTTAGAGACTAACCAATTTATTTGAGCTCACGAAAGCTGTAGCTCACGAAAGCTCATGCTCAAATAAATTGGTTAGTCTCTAAGGTGTCACAAGTACTCCTTTTCTTCTTTCAACTGGGAGTGAGACTCCAGAGTTGGCCTGCTAGGTGAGCGCTGAGACCTGGGGAGGGTGTGGGGTGATGCGTGTGGGAACTACCACTGCCCTTCCCTAGTAATTAGCAGTTTGGGAGCCTTTCTGAGCTGGCTCATGCTGGGTTTACACCAGTGTAACTCCACTGACTTCAGCAGCGTGACTCCTGATTTATGCCACGTAGGGTGACCACCTGTGTTGGATGGAAATAAGGGAAAACCACATGAAAAATAAGGGACAACACTTGATTTTAAGGGACATTTTAGGAAAACACCATTTCCTTTAGCATAGCATAGATTTTCCTCTCATTTCTGTACGTTTCCACTGTCCTCTAGTATACAATGCAATTATCATAAGCTCCAGCTTAGTGTTTAAAATGGTCAGGGGACACCATTTAAAATAAGGGACAGGTGGTCACCCTCAGACGGATCAATGAAATGAGGGACAGGTGTGTCACCCTACCTCAATGACACTAGAATCAAGCCCTACATCTGCTTGTGAATGCAGCGCGGGCCATGGCCCTGTCCAAAACACAGCTGTCCGCTCCTCTTCCTCTGGCCAGCCTCCTTCGCAGCAGGATGGTGTGGCGAGGGCTGCCGGAGGTCACTCCAGACCACGGGAGCTTCCTGCTTTGGCATTCAAGAGCCAAGTGCGTGCCGATGTGTGAAGAATAATAGTTTAGCCTCCCACAAGCAGCTCTTGCGGGAAGGTTTTTCTCAAGCTGTGTGCGCTGCGATCTCATCTCCCTGCGAGAGGCCGAGAAAAGCAAAGCAAGCAAGCAAAGAGACGCCTTCACCGTCTCCGTTTTGTCCTGCTGCCAATAGATGGGGAGGGCTGGTTTTGGACACAGCCGCTTTCATTTGAAATGCAGGCTGCACAATAGCTGACAAGCAAGAGAAGGGACCTAATTGATATTTGGCCACACAGTGGCTCCTCTGTTAAAGGCTTTCCCCCAGCCAGCATGTGCTATAGCAACTCCGGACCATGGGCTGCCGAGGGGGTGGCTGGCAAAAATGGGGGCTTTATGGGGCTGAAAAGCAGGTGTGCTGGCGGGGACAGAAGCCTGGCTCACGAGCTCCCAGCAGCCTCAGAGTTATTGGACATAAACAACGAACCCGTTTGCAGTAGGATAACGGAGTCTTTTCTCCTCCTGATCAGAGGCACTTGATTTGTACCCAGCCGAGGAATGGGCTCCATAGACCACACTCAGCCTCCATTGGCCAGGACCAGTCTGTGGCTGAAGAAAAGACCCCCCCTCCCCACCCCCTGATAGAACATCTTGGCAGAACCCTGGTCACCTTCCTCCTTCTTCTTTAAGTTTCACTTTTAAGGGGCACCGTCAATTTAGTGTAAGCCCAAAATTATTTATTTAATTAGTTATTTCCTCTTTTTAAAGGGCCAAGGGCCTGAGCCAAAGCCCTCTGAAATCAATGGAAAGACTTCCAGTGACTTTGGATCAGGCTGTGAAAGCGAATCTGAAGAGTGTTTTTTCCTGCTGTGGGCTTTTCGACATTGTTTTTATTTAAACCAAATCAGGTTTTTTCACCCTACCTGGATGGGAAACCAGGCGAGCACAACAGCTTGCTAGCCCAGGAAAACTGGAAAGTGAAACTGACCAGGAATGGGAAGTGAAAGTGACCAATCTTTCACTGGGCTGACCTCAATTTGCAAAGATCAAGAGGGAGCCAACTAGCTTTCTCTGATAGTGTTGTTAATGTTCTCCTGTGCCCATCGTATCTCCACCTACCCTGAGCACAGAAAAGCTCTTCTGTGATCAGCGGCTGGTGGCAGAGCTGTAATGTATGAAGGGATAGAATTCCTGATTTTGGTTAACCACATGTCAGTGCTGCCAGAGAGAAAACTGGAAGGAGGAAGGGCAGTGTGGTTTTAACTTTTTCACGCTGTGGCAAAAACAAACAGCTGCCAGGTCACCGTTTCCAGAGCTCTTCAAATCAGCTTTATCATTGTATCACAGTAGCAGCGACAGGCGCCAATCAAAATCAGAGCCCCACTGTGCTTGGTGATGTAGGTACCCAGAGCGAGAGCCAGGGCCTGCCCTGGAGAATTTACAGACAAAGGGTGGAAGGAGAAACGGAGGCACAGAGCGGTGAAGTGGCTGGCCAGCCATAGGCGCCAACTTCCCCACTTTCCCGTGGGTGCTCAACCCCCTGCCCCCGCCCCCATTCCAACCCCTTCCCCAAAGTCCTCACCCCAACTCTGCCCCCTCCCTGCCAATATTCCAACTTCTTCCCCAAATCCCCACCCAGCCTTGCCTCTTCCCCTGAGCACGCCGCGTTCTTGCTCCTTCCCCTCCCTCCCAGAATGTGCTAACGCTGCCAAACAGCTGTTTGGCGGCGGCCGGGCAGGAAGCGCTGGGAGGTAGGCAGAGGAGCGGGGTTGTGGCACGCTCAGGATGGGAGGAGGAGGAGGTGAGGTGGGGTGGGGGTGAGGGGAGCTTGGCTGCTGGTGGGTGCAGAGCACCCACTAATTTTTCCCTGTGGGTGCTCCAGCCCCGGAGCACCCATGGAGTCGGTGCCTATGTGGCCAGCAGCTCAGTGGCACAACCAGGAACTGACCCCAGTGTCCTGACTCCCAGTTGTGTGCCCTACCCTCTAGCTCACATGCCAAGCCTAAGTGACTTCTTTTCACTATGTATTATTTGCATTCCAATAGGGCCTAGAGGCCCCAACCAATACTGGGACCCCATTGTGCTGGATACTGTACAGACAAAGAGTGAGGGGCAGTCCCTGCCCCTAAGAGTTCACACTCTCAATAGACAAGGCAGACAAAGGGTGGGTGAGGAAACAGGCAGAGAGAGGTGAATAGCTCTAAAAATCTGGCCCTAAGTGACTTACCCAAAGTCGCACAGGGACTCTGGGATGGAGTTCGGGGCCCTCGAGTCCCAGCCCAGCCCCAGTCCCTTAGCCATAAAATCATCCAACCTCTTATCTCATCCGTGGCTAGCCACAGCAGGGAATTGAAAAAGCTGGGATTTTCAGCCTGGCTGCTCCCCACACTCCAGTTCCCAAGATTTTTCTTGGCCCTATGGCCCGAAAAATTACCCAGAAAAAGATGTTTAATGAAGAAAATATTTTAAGTGACTCCAGAGAATGGTGGGAGTTGGGAGTTCAATGAGCGTTTGCTTTCCAGCTGGTCTAACCCAGACCCCTCTCTCTAGTCCTCCTCTGTTTTACGCAGTGAGACTGATTCTTCACTCTGTTAGTCGTCTTTTGTGCCCGTGTAACTCCATTAAATTCAATGGCCAAGACAGACAAAGGAGGGGATGTCCATTGGTGTCAGGGCAGTTAGGCTGGTGTGTAATAGTGGAGTAATGCGGCGGTGAATCAGTCCAAATGACACCCGTGCAGCTGCAGAGCTGAAAGTGCTGAGATCATGGGGGCTCACCTGCAAAGGCCCAAGGGTCTCATTCTCCTTTCACTGGTGGAAATCAGGAATAGCTCTGCTGAAGTCAGTTGAGTATAAATTTACATTTACACTGAGAGAGGGGAATCAGAGGCTGAGTCTCAGGCCAAGCGCTTGAGGTTAGGCAAGTATGGTCCCACCCCAAAGAAGGCTGCATTGCCATAGCACCTGAAGCTTGTAACGTACTTTGGGGTGAACGGTACGGGAGAAGGAGCAGTGCAGTTTAGTGGCCTGGGAGTCAGGAGATTCTGGTTCTATTCTTGCCTCTCTCAGGCAAATTACTTTGCTTCTCTGTGCCTCAGTTTCCCTTCCTGTCCTTTGTCTAGCATGTAAATGCTTTGGGGCAGAGACTGAGGGGAGATGTGATAACAGTTTTCAAGTACATAATAGGTTGTTACAAAGAGGAGGGAGAAAAATTGTTCTTCTTAACCTCTGAGATAGGATAAGAAGCAATGGGCTTAAATTGCAGCAAGGGAGGTTTAGGTTGGACATTAGGAAAAACTTCCTAACTGTCAGGGTGGTTAAGCGCTGGAATAAATTGCCTCGGGAGGTTGTGGAATCTCCGTCACTGGAGATTTTTAAGAACGGGTTAGACAAACACCTGTCAGGGATGGTCTCGATAATACTTAGTCCTGCCACGAGTGTGGGGAACTGGACTAGAGGACTTCTCGAGGTCCCTTCCAGTTCTACGATTCTATGATTCTACATTAAAACCTATTAGGAAAACAGCAGATGAAATGGTCTCACACGTGTGGTGAGAAATGAAGAATACCCATACCGCGCATTAGAGAAACGCATCCAAATAGATATGGCAGGAGCGAGGTTACTGGATTGTTTTCTCATCCACATGCATTCATTTCCAATGGCTTTTTTTATAAAGCTGATTTTAAAAGCCCTGAAATCATTAGCTGAATGCATCTGAAGAGAAGAAAGGTAGATGACATTTTTGCTTGTATTCCTTAGAGCCCCTGTAGGCCATGTCTACACTGCCACTTATGCCAGCAAAACTTATGTCGCTCAGGAGTGTGGAAAAAACACCCCCTGGAGCGACATAAGTTTCACTGGCATAAGTGGTACGTGCCCAGCGCTATGTCATTGGTGAGCTCTCTCCCGTCAGCACAGAGCAGCTACATGAGTGATCTTCCAGTGATGCGACCGCATTGGTACAGCCGTGCCGGGTAAGCTCACTGGTGTAGATGTTGCCTAAGGACCTTTCCCAGGCCTGAAGAAGATCTGTGTGTAGCTTGGAAACTGGTCTCCCTCACCAACGGACGTTGGTCCATTAAAAGATATTTCCTCCCCTACCTTGTCTCTCTAATATCCTGGGACCAACACAGCTGCAACAACACTGCATATTTCAGAGCAGCAGCCGTGTTAGTCTGTATCTGCAAAAAGAACAGGCGGACTTGTGGCACCTTAGAGACTAACCCATTTATTTGAGCATGAGCTTTCGGATGCATCCGATGAGGTGAGCTGTAGCTCACGAAAGCTTATGCTCAAATAAATTGGTTAATCTTTAAGGTGCCACAAGTCCGCCTTTTCTTTTAACTCTGCATATGAGTACTCTGGGCTATTTCCCCATGTAGAGAAGTCCTTAGAGGTTAGTGGTTATTAATAAGTCTAATAAATCATACAGATTTTGATCTTCTATAGCACCTTCCACCAAGGCTACCAGAGCACATTACAGACACAGCTGAATTGATGCTGCCAACAGTCCTGCAAGGTTGGGGGATGTTACTATCCCCATTTTACAGGTGGGGAAACAGACATGGAGAAATTAAGATCAGCACTTCCCCCTACTTTTGGGGGCCTATCTTGAGACACCTGGGACCTGAATTTCCCAGGTGCTGAGATGCACAGCTCATGCTGATTTCAGCTGGTGTGGCTGCATGGCAGATATTCAGCTTCTCTGGAAGTCAGAGGACACCCACAGCTGGAGGCGGCGGGATCAGAGACTTGCCCAGCATTGCTCAGTGAGTCAGCGACAGAGTCAGGGCTGCAGCCTAGGAATCAGCTCCCAGTGCCCCACTCTGGGTGCTCCTTGATTCTGAGGGGTCAGTTAGTGCCTGGACTACAGGGGCCATTTCTGGTTGAGCTGCAGCACGGCCGATGTATCAGCTGAGAGAGGCACGTGCGCCCCTAGTGTCTGAATGCGTCCGGCCGTCTCTCACCCTGCCTCCTTGTGTTCCAGGGGACGGATGTGGCCACACCGTGATGACACCTCACAGTGGGACGCTGACCTCCAGGAACTACCCTGGCACGTATCCCAATCACACAGCCTGCGAGTGGAGGATCCAGGCAGCCGAAGGGAGCTCTCTTCTCCTGGCCTTCGGGGACATGGACATCGAATCCTCCCAACACTGCGCTTCTAGCTTCTTGCTGCTCTCATCCCCTTCTGATGGCACCAGCCTTGGTAAGGACTTCCCTGGCACAGCCTTTGCCACACGGGCAGAGGCAGCCACCAATGCACGACGTTGCAGGGCGTGCGGGGGCGATTTTTCCCTGCCTCCTTCGGCGAGCGTAGAGCTCTGCAGGCGAAGTGGAACCAGTGCAGTACGAGGGAGGGCAGGGCATGGGTAGGCCATGCACCCCCTTGCATGCCCAGCGTACAGCGTCAGCAGGGATCCGTGCAGGGAGCGTTTGGGCAGGGAGCAAGGCTGGCCTGGGAGAGGAGTGTGGGGGCGAGCGGACCCCTTGGCTGCATGCAGCACGGCTGCAGGAGTACTGGAAGTGTGTAAGGGTGAGCTAACCCCCACGGGGGAGAATCACAGTGCTACGCTGGGATGCTTGGTCTGCAGCTGCTCTCCAGGCTCTTGATCCATTATTATAATGTACTGAGAGCCATCAGGGTGCTCAGTGCTGGGCAAACAGGGAGGGAGACCCAGTCCCTGCCCCACCCGCTCCCAATGCCACCTGTCCATTTCAAGGTGGTTCTGCCTGAGCAGACATCAAACTCCAGAGGTCTCAGCACATGATGCTCCGATAGGGCACGGCAAGTCCTGCTCCCAACGGCCCAGCCCAGAGAACCCCTTTGCTGCAATCACCACTGACCCACCAGCTTCGTCCAGAGGAATCACCCAGGATCGGGGGGCGCCTATGGACTGAAATAGTGTCACCCTGTGGTGCCTCTTCTCCCTTGACAGAGCTGCCTAGTCACCCACTGACCCTGCCCAGAACTCCCAGCGGGTGCTGGCCTGGGACAGGCACCCATGGAGCAGCGCTCAGTGACACAGGGAGTAGGGACCCCCTGGCTGGGGCTTGACCCTCTGAGCTCCACCGGCCAGTGCCGTTCTGCTGCCTTTTGGAGTCCAGGTGCCCCCAGTGGGACTGAGGCATCTGCAGCTTCCAAGCTAAAGTGCACGGCCCTGCAGCCTCCGGCCACGATCCAGTAATCGAGAGGCCTGAGCTACCAGGTCTCAAGCCTGCAGTTGGGAACAGATCCCTCCCCAGCCCAGTGGGGATCAGATCCAATTGAAGGATTGTGACCAGGGTTACACAAAATCCTAGATAAGGAGAAGATCAAGAAAATCTGGCTTTTTAATTTTTTTTACAGAGGAGACATATGGGACTGGGGGTTCATGACAGAGGGGAAAGGGTGCAGGGACGGGAACAGATGTGTCCACAAATTAATTAACTTTGTCTGCTGAGAAATTGCCCAAATATTTCCAGGATTTTCGGGGGGAGATTTAATGGACGTAAGAGGGATTTGACAGGCCAGGCAGAGCAGTGGCTCCTGCCTGCGGAGAAATCCTTGTTTCCCCCTCCCGGACAACCTTTTGAAATCTCTGCCAGGGAGATGTCTGATATCTGATCACTCACGCAACAAGCTGCCTGGGCAATAGGAGGGGGAGCCGACCAGCCCTGAGCCAAGAGGAAACAGGGCTAACCGCAGAGTGGCACAGCCTGAAGCCGGAAGGGAATTGCCCGACAAAGAGGCGCTGAGTGACAAGCAGCCAGGAAGCTCAGTGCACAGCGAAGAGAGGGCCCCATTGTGCTCCGTCAAAGGGACACAGGAGAGGGTCGCTGCAGGGAAATCAAATGTGTCTCTGAATAACCATAGAAATCAGAGATGGAAAATGCCTTTTAAATCCTTGAGTCCATCCCCAGGGCCGGGACTGTTCCTACAGTCTACTCTCCAGGGCTTTCTTCTCCGCACCCACCCCCAGAGTGTATTTAGCCCTGTCGGGGAGAGTTCAGAGGAAGGACAAATCCCCAGGACGGTATTTTACTGAATATTTGGTAGCAAGTAGTTCAGGCTCCTGTGTTAGGGGTTGGGGCCCAGTCTTCCACTGTGGTAAATCAGGGCGGCTTCACTGGCCTCCATGGAACTGCTCCAGTTTACCCCAGGAGAGAATGCGACCCATTGGATTTGCTGCCCCAGATCACACCACCCTTCGTGCAAGCTCCCAGCGACCTCGATGGCAGCTGTGAAGTTGGAGGTGGGGGATCCGGCCCCGAGTTTAGCAGCCCAGCATTGGAGCCACATTGCACAGGCTGCTGCAGCTTAATTGTTGGGTAAACTCCAGGGGTCTTCCATCGCCTCTGTCACCGTGCGGGGGGGTTGGATAGGAGGAGCCCTGCAGCAGTAGATATTTTGGCCTTGCCCCATCTCTCCCCTGGCCCATGCAACGCCACAGGGGATGCATCCCATGTCCATTGTCCTCACCTCACACACCCATCTCCTCCACCGCCTTGTGCGGGGGACACATACTGCTCCTCTGCCTGGAGAGAGAGTGTAGCTGCCTGTTTGTACTGGCAGCTACCCAATTTTGCAGGGGTCATTAATGTTGAGCTGCATTTTGTGCGACTCAGACGCTCGCTGGGCTGGAGCTCCTAGCTGGGAAGTGCCATTAATATAGCAGCTCCTGCCATGGGATGAAGCTAACCAGGCAGGGACAGGCTATTCCCAGGGCCTGCACATGAAATCCCTCAAAGCCATTAGTATTTCCAAGGTAAAGAACAAGCAGGGGTGGCGGGATGACCCCCTTTCAGCCCTTTCTCCAGCCCAGAGGAGCAAAGCAGGGCACAAACTCAACTTCTCTCCCTTTGCAGGTCACCTCTGCGGCTCCGTTTATCTTGGCATCATGCACTTCACTCCATGTGAACTGCCGAGTAAATGTTTAGGAGCTAGAACTGCATGTGGTTGCCAAGGGCCCTGTTGCTGCCAAAAAAGTTCATCCCACCTGGGTTCTTTCCTACTCTGAAATACCACGGACTGTGCTTAAAGTCCCGGGGTGCTGCAGAGCTCCCAGCGTTAATGGGCACAACCCACATGGGAGTTAAAGCTTTACATCTCCTGGCTCTGGCTCTTTTAAAAATCCCTTGTGTTCTGTCTCCTCCCCCAGCACAAGTTCTCCCCCCCGGGTACTTCTGTGAACTCCCATACCTAGTATCTGAACACCTTCCAGTCCTGAATGGACTTCTCCTCACCGCTGCGCCTAGGGCAATGCTATCATCCCCATTGCACAGATGGGGCACAGAGAGGCGAAGTAACTAACCCAAGGTCACACGGAATCTGTAGCAGAGTGGGGACTGAACCCAGGTCTCCCAAGTCCCAGATTCATGACCCGACCGTCAGGGCCAGCCTGCTCTCCTAGTTGAAAGGGCAACAGTAACAGGGTGTGAGGATAGGAAGGATGGTTCAGTGGTTAGGGGACTAGACTATGACTTGGAGACCTGGGTTCAACTCTTTGCTCTTCCATGGGCTTCTTGTGAGACCTGGGGCAAGTGTCTCTGGGCCTAGGTTTGCCATCTGTGCAGTGGGGCAAGTAATACTGTCCTGCCTACTAGGGGTGGTAGGAGGGTAAATACATTGAAGATTGTGAGGTGCACAGCTACAGTGGTGACGGAATCACGTAAGTACCATAGACAGACTTAGAGCTTAGTGCCCCATTAGGCACCAAAATAAAGGCCAGATTTTCAAGTGCTCAGCTCCCACTGTGCTACTTAAGGCCAGAGTTTAAGTGGCGCTCAGGACCCGACAGGCTGTAAATCTGGCCCGAGATGTATCTGGGGAGGTGGGGGTCATCACTTTTCCAGCCCCACATTTTTATAGAGGACGTGGTGATAATGAAAATACCAAACACATTTCATACAAATACACTTCTCATGCTACGTATGATTGGTCAGTGGAACTCCCTGCCACAAGATCTCACTGCGGCCAAGAATGGTGAGCAGAATTGTGAAATCCACAGCTGCATTGGAAAGAAAAACAGTGTGTACTGGGTATAAACCCTGCTGCTTCAGGGCAAAGCCAGTCATTAGTGGCCAGAGGTTGGGCAGTGTTTTCTGCTTTGGGTAGGTTATTTCTTAACTGTCCATTATGGGGTTTTTTCCACCTATCCTAAGTGAGTATAAATCTGACCGGTGCAGGTGCACTCAGGTTGCCCAGGTGTAAATGACCACATATGGTGCAATGCAAGGGGATAGTCAGCCCAACAGGGGCCTGGTCTCCCTTTCTAGAGCACCAAATTCCAGCATGGGAGGGAGGCATAAGCTTCTCTTTAAAGTCAGTGGGTGAGGTTCTTGGCCCTGGGCCAGGCTGCTTTGAGCCCCAGCAGTGGGCATTCCTCTGATGAAGGGGGAATCTCCCTGGTGGCATGGAGCCAGGAAAACCAGCTGTAAGCCACATACCCCACTGCCACCAGCACAGGGACATGCCAGGAGGAGAGCAGGGTGCTCCAGCAATCCCCAGCCTTTGCAATGGGCCTTGGGGGCCATTGCAGGCGGCCATGAGTTAAAGCAGCTGGGGGGCCCCCACTGATTGGGAGAGCAAAGAGGTGGCAGAAAGTCGCACGTGCTGTCCCCCCGCTACAAGGGCAGCAGACTGCATGTAGCCGAGGGCGGCTCTGGCTGTGGATTCACACACTCGCAGCAGGAGGAAGACAGAGATTTAGTTTTTTTAAACCATTGGAATGAGCTTGCCATTTTCCTGACATTTCGCAGGCTGTATGCGGCACCCCTGGGACGGAGCCTCCCTGGCCTCCGGTGTCATCACCCACTCCCCGCTGCCTATATATGGTAACAAATCAGGGAGGCATTTGCTGCACGTGGGTTGTGGGCAGTATATTTTTAATGCGTCTTGCAAGGCCTGATCTAGCTACCCAACAAAAGAGATTGGGCCACAGGGCAGCGATTGCTCCCCAAGGGCCTCTCTCTGGAGTGGGGGGTGCCCGATTTCACATGGGTTGTTTCCATCTGTTGGTAACATCTTGAAATGGAATTTGGTTTCCTTTCTGTTAGTTTTAAAAATTCCCTTTCTTTCATGCACGTGCACACTGGTTTGTTATTGTAGGGTTGCTCATGAGCCTTGAGGCTGCACCACGCTGCGGTTTGTTATTGTAGGGTTGCTCGTGAAGGCCGAGGCTGCACCACGCTGCCGTTTGTTATTGTAGGGTTGCTCGTGAAGGCCGA